TGGTAGCGGTAAGGGCTGTCTCGCCCTCGCCGGTGTAGTCGCAAGCGCCACTTGGCTTGTCGCTCCGTGCTTAAATTACGAAACTGACCGTTCGGGGCGTGATGACATGCTTAGAGGCGGCCTCGGCCGCACCGACCACCTGCGTCTTCCTCCAACTCCGGTCTTCTCAACAGTATCCTAAAATTGGGTCCAGGTGTGGGAGTGGGAAAGCAATGGCGAAGAGCCTGCGAGTCTTCTTTTACTATAATCTAGATAAAGGCACCACGTTTGCCCTCAGTTTGCTGAAGCTCGTGGTGGAATCGTCGAAAACGACTGTTGAACTGTCATATAAAGTCATTGAAGTTGTTCCTCTAGTATATACATTTAGCGGGAGAATGGGGTCTTTACGTTTCTGCTATTGTTCTTGTCTCTGATGATGAATCCGTGACGGATGTCGAAACGTCAGGCGAATAAGCATATTGTCCCAGCAATCGAGTCTTCTTCTTCTTCTTCTCGGTCTTTAAGTTGGAAACTCCAGGATATTGCAGTGCTTCATCAATGGGAAGGTCATACAATTTCTACAGAATTCAGTAAAGTAATATAATGAGGATAGCATAAATGCTTACAATTAGCACGGCCGGCAAACTAGACTGCTTGAAGGATAAGCTAAGTTAATTCATATATCACGGCCAGATGGCTGGCCTTAAGTGAAAGAACCACCAGCAAAACCTAAAGAAATTCATTTATTCAGTCCATTAAAAAACTCCTTTTATCTAGGTGATATCTGCCAAAATATCTGCCAATTCATTTACTATGCTCTACAAACGAGTAATAATTAAAAGGCACTGAGTTTATGACAATTCATGAGACAGATTACACTGTAAAAAAGGAGAGCCAGTCCAGCTCTTCGAAACATCAGCCAAGACAAAAAAACTCACCACGGTGAGAACAAAAACGTTCTCAAATTCTTATTCCAGAACTCTTACTTTTGCCAATTTGAGTCAACGAAATGTCTGAGGCATTCGCTGATGCGAATTGGTAATATAAACAAGCTCGATGGAGGGGTCCCAAAAGAGCTTCAGGAAAATACCAGATTTATATCTGTTGGAGTGTGTTCGATGTTATCCATTCGAAACTGTACTGATACATTTCCTAGTGGAAAGATGATTTGTGAATAAAAGTGAATCCATAAGTGATAACCGTAAGCGATCAGGACAATGGCTTGATCGTGACGAAGCACCCACACATTTTTCGATGGCCAATTTGCATAGGCGGAATATTATACGTACATTCTAGAGGCCTTATATCATACCAGGACTAAAAAAAATGTTAATATATTATATTATCGATAGAGAGATTACGGACACAAGCATAGCAAGCCACAATGGCCGTTTTCAGTAGATCAGCCGTCATCAGATAGCCATACTTAACCCCAGGTTGTGCACCATTCAAGGCATGAATCCGTGACTTGCTGGCCGGACGCGCAACGCTCTAACCTACTGCGCCATGCCCTCGTTGCCGGGAATATATTATATTATATAAAACAGCAGATGTTTAACAAAGGA